GGTAGAAATGACTCAGCCTGTAACTGAAAATATAGATGGAAGAAGAACCCCAGCTTAGCCTGTTAGCTTTAGCTTTAGCCCTGATGCTATATATACTGTATGTATTAGCTCAGCGCTACACATTCTCCTCTTGTCACTGAGGTCCTCCATCCACATGACAGAGAGGGGAACACAAAAGACTCAGCCTGCAGCTGAAAATATGGATGGAGGACCTCAGTTTAGCTTTAGATGTGGTGGAACGGGAGATTCACATCATGGATGTGCAGCCGACAAATCTGCAGCAACTGTGTGATGTTTTCATGTCAATATGGACCAAAATCTCTGAGGAATGTTTCCAGTAGCTTGTTGAATCTATGCCACAAAGGATTAAGGCAATTCTGAAGGCAAAAGGGGGTCCAACCCGGTTCTAGCTAGGTGTACCTAATAAAGTGGTCTGTGAGTGTATATATAATTATTATGATTTATTTTTGTATTAATAAAGTTTGAGAAATTTGGTGACATTTTCTTAGTTTTATCAGGCTACAGTAATGATTTTTTTTTTTTTTTTTTTTTACAGATTATCATTTTAGACTCTGATACATTGTGTTTTTATTTCCTGTATAGCACTTGGTTTTACACTCTACTACATGAAAAGTATTTCAAACAAAGTGATCGAAAGTAAAAGCAAAAATCCTCATGTCTGCAAAAAAAATGATAATTACATTTACATAGATCAATGAAAAAAGTTGTCTGAGATTAGTAAATAAAGATTAGCAATGGTGTAGAGCTTAAAATAACTTTTGAGGTGTTTAGTAAGCTTCGTTGTAGTGATCCAGGTTCTGTAGGAAACAAAGCAACAAGAAGCAGGTGAACGAGGTATGAAATTGATTAGAATAAAAAATAAATTCATTCAACGAGCACAAAATGTGTATTTATTTGAGTTTAACGCTCACCTGCAGCAGTGAAACCTTTAACCAGGGCATGAGCCAGCTGGCCTGCTCCAATAAACCCAACACTCATCCTGACAGATGATGTTTCTAACCTGTAAAATCAATCAAAAAAATAAATAAATAAATAAAACAGACAGAAAGCTGCTGCAGACTGTATAATTAACTAATGTGCAATTTACTTTGAAACAAAGCTGATTTAAAATGTAGTGGTTTTAAAACATGAGGAAAAACCCTGCAGCAGATATACACATATTTACAGGTAAATATCTCTCAGGAGAAAATGACTTTTCCAACTATATTTCTAGTATAAACAAACACTGTGAGCTCAGTGTTGAACTATAGTTTAACAAGTAAATCCATAAGTTTACAACCTTGCAAGACAAATCAAATTTAATTGTTTCACTGATCATTTGACTCGAAATTAATTCCCTCCATGAAACAAATTGCTCTTAATTGTGATGATAGCATCTTGCTGGCTGTGAACTAGCTGCTTCGCTAGCTCCGTTTTAAGGAGTAATGAAATATTCGATAAATAAATATAAACAAACGAAAGTACCTTACTCTTAATGTTTTGGTTGAAGTTTCTGAGGAGGAAAGTTGTGGAAGTAAACGTTATCCTCTGAGGTCCCACAAATAATCCTCTTCTCGTGTCAACGTGGCTTCCCTTTTCTTTAACTCAACCCCCACGCGCTAGTTTGTAATAAAAGACGGAGCTTCTGACCAATCATAAAGAGGCACATTGGAAAACTGGCCAATAATGAAGTAGATTGTAAAAATAAAGGCGGGGCTTGCTGTCCGTCACGCCCAGTTGCATCATTCTTCTAAGAAAGGATGCCGAGAAGGATGTGGGTCATGTTTATAATGAACACAATGTTGAGTTGTACCAAACTGTACTGAACACAAACTTAACACTTTTACTGTTTGAACACACAAATGAAACATGTAGTTGGCTATTCACAATTTGTATACCCAACACAAATTTTCTTAGGACAATAAAGTTGATCTTATCAATATTATTTTCAGTTACCTTAAACGCACTAAAGACTGAAAAAACAAACAAAAACATAGAGACTGAAACATTTAAATGAATGACATAAAATACAAGTATTTTTATAACTTCCTGAACAAGAATAAAATAAGTATTAGTAGATAAAAATACAAAAATTAAACGGATATATACACGTCACCCTACCATATGAAGAATAATTTATTGGGATTCACATTTAATTCTAAACCAGTTTAATAAGCTTTAACTTTATTTATTTTATTTTGTATTTTTTCGTTATGATTCAAACTGGCTTCCATTATCTCAGTTTTGGCTCACAGTTCTTCCATTTCAGAAGTAAGTTTGATATTTTTATTATGTTTATTTTAATGGCACATTATGGGTCAATAGTTCCCAAACCTCTCCATTTCTGATTCACAAATAATCAGTAGCAAAATCTTGTGGCCCTGACGTCAATGACTACAACTCCCAAAATACTATTTTTTAGTCCCTTTATTTCTTTTAACATGTTATGTTAAAAGTGAAATGCTTTTAGAAGCCATTTTAAAGCCATTTTGTTGTTTTGTGTTGCTAATGTCAGTTAGCTGTAGGGATCATCTTGACTCAGCGTTCAAATATTAAAGGTAAATCAGATGTTGTAATTTTAGCGGCTCCCGGCTATGGAAGCCCATTTCTGCCACCCTGATAAAAAAAAACAAATCTTGTATCTCATAATTATGACTTAGCTATCTCATAATTATGACTTAGCTATCTCATAATTATGAGATACTATCTCATAATTATGACTTAGCTATCTCATAATTATGACTTAGCTATCTCATTATTATGAAATACTATCTCATAATTATGAGATAGCTATCTCATAATTATGAGATAGCTATCTCATACTCTCATGAGATACTATCTCATGAGATAGTATCTCATAATTATGAGATAGTATGTCATAATTATGAGATAGCTAAGTCATGATTATGAGATAGCTATCTCATAGCTGAGTCATAATTATGAGATACAAATTTTATTTATTTTTTTATCAGGGTGGCGGAAATGGGCTTCCATACCCTTCTGCAACAACCCAGCTTTCATAAAACATTTGACAGTTATTTCATGCTGGATTTCCTTCCTGACACAACCTGGACTCAAACCTGCAGCCTCAGGATTACAAAAGACCACTGCCCCTAAATTAAATGTTCATATAAAATTAGAAAACTAAGCAGCTTATCTGTGTCTTCAAAATGATTTGGCCTGAGGCAGCCATCTTGTGGACAGATTGTTGACACCGGCCGTCTCTTCACACTGCCTGCCTTTCTCGGATACCTATCATACCATACTGTGCCGTTCCAGGCTAAAGTTACACTCCACAGGATGAAGTGGAGTGGTATTTCCCCTTTGAGGGACCACATGTATCTCACAGGAATTCAGACTGAAGGATTGCTCATGTCTATATATGAGACAGAAGTCTGAGGTCGACCTCTGAGAGCACCAACTGTTTGGAGATGAGCTCGCTCAGATAGGCACTTTAACAGTTTTATATATATAAAAAAAAGAGTCAGGGTCTGAGATTATCTAATTTGATTCCGTTTCATTTTGAAGCCACGTTTCATAAACTTTAGGCTCACTCATCCATGTCACCTGAAGTGTTAAGAACCAATTCCACAGTGGAGGTCATCAGGTTCCTCGGTTATGATCCAACTTAGACTAATAAAAACAGGTGTTGCATCGTGGGAAATGTAGGATTCTGAAGTTCCTGAACTTGTCTCCCGTCAGAAAATGAAGCTAATGTCTTTATTTCTGCTGTTTCAGACTGTTTGTAAAAAGACCCTCCTGTACTTCATGCTGGCCACTGGCAGTTCAGTTCAGCTTGATCAGCCTTTTTGTTTAATGTTTAATAAACCGTGACGAGGCGTATGTTGCATCAGACGCAGCTAAAACTTTATCTTCATCTGCTGCGCCTGGACAGATCCAAGTGCACGGCAGCAAAAATCACTTCAGCAACACTGAAGCTATTCCAGCAACAAGAAATACTAACACCAACTCGAACAATCAACAATCCTGAAGACCTACTGTTGCTTGAAGGAATGCAGTTCACCCACTGCCGTTCAAGCCTGTGTTTTGAACTAAGTTAATGTGAAATGACAGTTATAGACATTTTGTTCAGTCACAGATTCATGCAATATCTCCCAAAGTCTGATAGCTCTTAGAGTGTTGTGATCTCAGCAGTGCTGTACTTAAGTACATTTTTCATGTATCTGTACTTTACTTAAGTAGTTTTAATCATGGATGCTTTCGACTTTTACTTCGCTACATTTTACATGAAGTGTCTGTACTTTCGACTCCACTACATTTCTGTAATGTGTTGAAGTACAAGTTACATTACCGTCACATTATGATTTTTTGATTTGTTTGTTTAGTTTGAKAGTAATCAATAGTGGGAGGTGAATTGCTGTAATTGGTCCAGTGAACCACTGCAAAGCAGTAAAATACCATTAGACCCTCTTTCAAAAAGAGTGAGGTGATTCTGCACCACACTAGCATCTCCATTTCCACCATGGAGTCAGACAGAGGAAATGTGTCACTCATGGCCTTCTTTAGGGGAACTTTAGGGGACCTATTATGCAAAATTCACTTTTTAAAGGTTTTTTTTACTCAACTTTGGGTATGTACTTTAAAAAAACAGTCCTAGGACCAAAAAATGCARCCAGGGGCATATTTACTGTAAGTAAATGTATTTTTAATGTACATTAACGACACGTTTTATACTTCTGTCATTTTGTGATGTCACAAGCCGTACGACAACCCACCGGAACCTGCGTTCAGCCCCTTACCTATAGCAACCCCCGGGTGAGACTCCACCTCCTCAATATAAACAGCCGTCACCGTGTTGTTGTGCAATGTGCAGTTCATTTTGCAAAAAGCCTCCAATGGGGCAATGGGTAGAGTGGTGGACCAGAGAGTGGGAGACCAGCACGGACACAATTTAATATTTTTTTTATTTTCATTCGTTATGAACACGTTTTCTCATGTACCTCTATTGTTTAGCTTATTAAAACCTTGTTAAAGCCTATTTGTTGGAGTTTCTGAGGTATTTTGACCGCTGCTGCTCCCTGCTCTGGTAACAGCATGCAGAGTGAGGGCAGAGCAGAGGAGGGAGAGAAACAAAAAGAAGCTGACCAGGACTCTGCCTCTGGGTCTCATATGGTTGTACAACAGGAGCTTCTGCTATTATTAGCCAAGCTAACGTAAACGCTGGCTTTGGAGGGCGGAGTTAATGTCAACAGATTTTTGGAGGGCGTTACCAACAGAGCTCATTAACATAAACGGCTCTTCTGAACGGAAGTCAGAGCAGGCAGAACTAGAAAATGGGAAATTTTATTATCTGAGAATTATTTTGTGCATTAAATTGAATGAACATGGTCTGGATAGCCCACAGACATACCAAAAAATTTCTAGGACCCATAATTGGTCTCCTTTAAAATACTTATTCAAGTTCACCAGTTCAAAAAAAGAGATTTGATAGAGGACAGTTTTCTGTAGTTGTTGTCACAATGTCTGATGATGCATAGAAGTCCAAGTGTGAGCGGTGTCACATAGGGTCAAAACAAAAACATGCATTATCTGCAGCATTGTTCACTAAAATAACACAACATTGATGTATTAAAATTTACATACTGTAGGCACACGTCATAATGTAGACCATTCGGGAATACTTTAAGCAAGTATTTTTACTTTAATACTTTAAGTACTTTTAAAACCAAGTACTTACTTTTACTCAAGTAAAAATGTTAATGTGGTACTTTTACTTTTACTAGAGTACATATTTGTCTGTTTATCTGTACTTTTACTTAAGTACAGTATTTGAGTACTTTCTCCACCACTGGATCTCTAAGATTTGCTGAGTTAGTCATTTTTAGTGTATTAAGGCCAGAGTTGTAAAGTAACTAAGTACAAATACTTTGTTACTCTACTTAAGTAGAAATTTTGGTTATCTGTACTTTACTTGAGTAATTATTTTTCAGTGTACCTTTTACTTTTACTCATTACATTTTTACACAATTATCTGTACTTTCTACTCACCACATTTTTTAAAAAGGTAAGAAGTAGAAAGTCGTTTCTCCTATTTTATTCTGAGTTCTTATTACTTAAAAACACTATCCTGATGAATTGTGTCTCCTGGATAGAGTGAATTTAATTGTGGTTGGATGAGAAGTATAAATATATACCATTCTGACACACTATTAACTTGTACACAACCCATCACAGCTGCACGCCGTTAGAAAAAATATTTTTTGGAGAAGTCACCTCCCAATAAATGTCATTTATGCTCACTTTTACTCAGTACTTTTACTTTTAATACTTACAGTAAGTAGATTTTGTGCCAGAAATTTACTTTTGATTTTTAAGTACAAAAAATATCAGATACTTTAAGACTTTAAATCAAGTAATATTTTTAGAGAAGACTTTTAACTTTTACCAAAGTATTATGATAAGATACTAGTAC